TTTAATATCAGCATCAGGGTATTTGTGTGATGAATCAGAATTATTTCTAACGAAGTAATTTTGTAGTAATCGATCGAAAGATATTTAAAAAAATATTTCATCAGATCAGAAATACTACAGCATCTATCCTTTTTTGAGCATGAAAATATTTAAAATAAAAAAGACCCATTCTAAAACCATATGGCATGTCAAAACAAAGAGTGTGTACAAATTTCAAGCACCTGCAATGAGGAGTTGCTGGGAAAACTGCGACAAAAATTTGGTACAGAAGACGCACAGAAAAATAGAAAGTTGACATTACATTTGTACAGAATTAAATCCCACCATATGGCATGCCTAAACAAAGACTGTGCTAAAATTTCAAGCATCAACATGAGTAGTTGCTGAGAAAACTGCGACGAAATTTGGTACGGACAGAAGCACAGTCACACGGACACACAGACAGACACACACACACACACACACACACACACACACACCCTCACACACACACACACACACACAAGGGTAAAACAGTATACCCCTCTCCTTCGGAGCGGGGGTATAAAAATTGACAAATACCTGAGGCCTAGAACTCAAAAGGTGTAGGAGGAGATGCACTTTGAAATTATTTTGGAGAATGTTGACATATAAGTCACCACGGCGACATCTTTCATTGAAATAAAAAATGTAAACAGAGTTAAGTGTTTTCCCGTATAGAAATTTATTTTTGTTTACACCGTAACCATGCAAAAGATGTAGGGATAGCATTAAAAAACTTCAAGAGCAAAACACTCCTATTTCAATAGTTTAAATTTATAATGTTTTCTTCCCAAAGTGTTGTCCCATCCTAGTCTCTAAGGCTATTATTTGTGTATTGCTTAGTTTATATTTATTCTCATATTTATTCTAAGTATCACTTAAAACGTATGTGTATTGAATAAAAAAAACTCAGTATATAGGTTACCATACAGATGATTGATAAAAGTTTTAGGGTGGAAATGGGCCGAGAAAGCTCACCATACTATCCTGAATTTTCTAGGAGTCTAGTTAAGATATGATTACTATCTATGTCCACATAAATTTAAAATATCGGCGGGACAGCTTCAGAAACTATTATGTGGTAATTTACGGATGGAATTACTAATCCTCATTCATAAACCCTGAATTATAGAAGAAGTTATAAGACGTTGGTCTTATTTATATCCAAGGTAATTGAACACTTCCTTGGTAACAGACACTTATTATATATCTCACAAAATAAACACTGTTCAAAATAAAATCATCTATTTTGTTGTAGAAAGATATTCATTCACCTAATTGTTTCCCTATAATCATAAATCTAGTTATGAAGAGGGGTATATTCCTTTCAGTATTCGAGATTTGTAATAGAGTTTTCCCCTTACATAGTCTCTTTATTTCTTTATTGAATCTAAAAATGGTTTACTTAACAAATCAAACTAACTCTCACTTCCTTATTTTTGAAATGAGATAAATGATAAAAGTTTACATCCAAAATTACTTCAGTGAAAGACATCATTATTTTTCATTTTGCTTATTGTTATACATGTATTTAAAAAGCAATAAAATGAGAACACTGAAGATAATAACATAAAAAATCATGTTTAATTAATGAGAGAATCTTGGTTCTACAAGACTGGATTGTTTTTCTTCAAAAAGGGCCCAACTCTTTAAATGGCAAAATTTCGTTGAAGGGGAAGACCTCGATATTTTTTCAGAATGGATAAAGAGTTTTAGACCTGTTTATATATTCCTATGAAGCAGAATTTATTCAAAAACTTCTTCATGAGAAGAAGAAAACACTTGCTGTGGTATTCAACTCGACATTTAGATATATTGACGATGTTTTATTAACTAATAACAATTACTTCCATTCATATGTTGACTCGATATATCCGAGTGAATTCGAAATAGAAGAAACCCAAGAGTCTGCCAAATCTGCTTCATATTTGGACATTTTGTTGACTGTAGACGATAAGGGACTACTAACAACTAAATTGTATGACAAACGGAATGTATTCATCTTTTATATCGTTAACCATCTTTATTTATGTAGTAATGGACTTTTGCGAGACGCGCTGACTTTTACAATTGACGGTTTACTTTTACACAGGGACAATATACGGCAGCTCTTTTGCGATATAGATATTTAGCTTAACAGTTAATTAAACGATAATAATTGGGCATTTCAAAGCAAATATTACGTTGTCTAGGAAGGGGAACAAAAAACACCCTATACGAACCCCCCATGCCTTCCAATTTGACCAACTACTGCCAAGTTTTCATTCCGGAATGTTTTTTCTTCCTTATTTGATTCCTTCATAAAATGAGATTGAAAGGAAATAATATCCCTCACGAATAAGATATTTTAAGTTATGTTATTCTATCTCCCATCATCTCTTGTGTTGATTGCATAAAAGTAAATAATGTAAGTGACCCTCATACCATACCTATGAGCACTAGTAAGATTTTCTAATCTAATATCAATTCCGTACCTCCGTACATAACACATGTTTAAATGTCAAAGTAAGCCATCGAGTGTAAAAGTCAGTGCTTCTCGCAAAAGTCCATTAATACTAGTATTACGCCGCCACCTGGTATGGCGTTTACGTTTCACTTTTTCGATAATCAAGAGTATGCTCTGAGTACGATCAATTTTAAACTGAGACAGGGTTGATGTTACAGGGATTTCAAGAACCTCATTTAAAGTCAGCATTTCGAGAATTCTATGGTCGTTATAATGACGTTGTTGGCAAATATGACCCTATCACAGGGTTGTTTTTTGGCTGACATGTTTCATCCTAATTGTTAGGCCTACAACTAAATTTGACCACGAAATATTCCATCTACCAGATCATTACGGCGGGTTTGGCCTGTCGACAAGGGATGTTTCCTCCTTTTAGGCACCTGATCCTACCTCTAAAATTTCTGGGGGTACGTGTTTTGTGCCATGCTCACAGATTTATGTTGTTTGTAATTTTTTTTAAGATAAATAACTGTTCGCTATATTTACCTTTTTCATATATATATTAAAGGTTCGTATTAGACAATTAAAAGGCAAAACGCAAACAATCCTTCCTTCCGTTTTTAGTAAACTGGAGGGGATAAAAAATGAGATAGACATGAACAAAATGTTATTGTTCCAGGTGACAAAGCCTGTAGAAAATAGTTGTTTTGACAGTGTAATTATTACCACTGCATTTAAGAAGGACTTGGCTTTATACCATATCAGGTTATTCAACTTATTTTTACAGTTCCATTTCTAAAGATGAAATTCTTCAAAATCAAGTTTCAGTTTTAAATACTTTCAACATTAGCTGTTGTGCAGGAGAAACTTCAGTCTAACTGCACAACAACAATTTCGGTAAGTGGTGTACATCAAATATATGGATTCTAAAAGACCCTACAAAGAACTTTTGCAAATTTAAAAAACTTAATTTTCCCCAAAAATCAATGATATAAAAAATATGACTTTTCTACGCTTTATAGAACTATTTAAAACGATAAATGAAAGACCAGACTTTTTGACGTCATAGACAACTGCTTCTTCAACGAAAGTAGAACTCGGAAATTTTCATATCTTGTGATTAGTCTTTCACAAAGTTACTTTGTGAAACGAAATTCAGATTTTACACATAAGTACTCTGAGGTTAATATAAAAAAGTTGCCGGAGCTTCTCATTGACAACATCTATGGGTTCTTTAGAAACCAGGTCTTCCAATAATCTGGAATTCCGATAGAAACTAAGTGTGCTCCTTTGCTAGCCGAATTGTTTTTCTTTCCTTTTGACGCAGAGTTAATCCAAAAACTTTTACATGAGAAAAAGACTCTTGCTGTGACTTTCAGATCAACATTTTGCTATGTCAACTACGTTTAATCAATCAATGATAGACATTTTCATTCATGTGTGGACTCGATATATTCAAGGAAAAATAAAAATAGACAAGTTTGCCATTTGATGTCTTACTGACTCTAGGCGTACATTGAGAAAGCATTAAAACCATAAACTGAGAACAGATTTAAGTACAAATTAGAATAAAAAAAACATGAATGAATTTTGATAATGAAATAAAATTCCCATGATATGTTTGAGTTTGAATATTGTGCAAACCTGCAAATTTTACTACAAGTGTATAAAGGCACATTTGTTACATAAAACTTACGATAATTAAAATAAAAATGTTGACTTATCTGAACTCATTTTATGGTCTTGAGGCCAGTTGGAGCCTCCTGCTATTGTTGACTGTTCATAAGAATACTAATTTTGCATAGGTTGCTGCTTTCGGGAGCCCTGTTTTTTCAGTCTCCTCGGATCAAGACGGAATTCTATTACTTAATCTTCATATACTGCAAAATGTTTCTCATCAGAGTATACTTTTTTTTCAATATTTTTATTCTGATATATCTATCAAATGGCCATAAAAACATATTCCAGGCATATTCCAGGTATTCATTTGTTTAAAGAGAAACATATTGACAATTGTTTAAGGGTCTTTTGTCTTCTGCTCAGTGTCTTTCGTTGTCATTTATATCAAACGTGTTGTGAATTAACTAGTATTAAAGCTAGAACAATTAAATGTAAAAGTAAAAGAATTCAATAAAAACGATGTTTTTTTTAGTTTGGTTTTAAATCTGTTTTGCCATCGGTTGATGTGGATTTACAAGTAATTTACATGTATCACTTTTTTTTTTACAATACATATTTTTATTTACACAAAAAATGTTTGGCAGAGAAATAGTGCTTTGTAAAATATTTACTCTCTTTAAATAACGTATATATTTCAGTAAGTAGTATGCTAAATATGCAATTGTCTAAGATAATATCTCCTTTATATATAACACAGTCTTGTTATATTTACAGTTACTTTGGATGAGGCTAATTAGTGATTCTAAATAAATCAATTTGAACTTTTAAATTTGCTAGTACAGAAGACAAATAGATTAGCATTATTAGCATTTTTTTTTATTTTCTAAACTTTAAAATATTTGAGGGGATACAATACACATTGAAATTTACTTTATTAAAGGTGGTGATTGGTTTTCTGGTGGAGTGTGAAAAACAAAGCCAGGGAGACCCCAAGCATGATAACACCAACGAAAATTGACGCGTATGTCAAAGTTCTGGCACAAGAGGCAGACTGTTCGGCACCAAACAAATCATTCCTCTCTTCTCTCTGGTTTGCCTACAGTTACAAATTTTAGTGTTCAACCCATCAATATTGGTATATTTTGTTTTTTTTTTTTAAATATGCATGTATTAAATAAATATTTTCATAAATATGAATGCTAAAATGCACAGACAATTTAAAGTATTTATTATTAGTAAACAGAAATTAATAAAGATAAATATTCCTGAAGTTTTAACACCTAAGTTAACAGTTCAACAAACCTCCCAAGCATAGTAAATCGCAGCTAATCCTAAAGGCCAAAAGCAAAACAAACAGGAAAATATGGCGGGGCAGAGCCAGTTTGTTGGTGAATATGTTGTTGTGACAGCTGGTGTAGAACCATACACTTTAGCGCCTGACTTTAAAGGATACAAAGTTACATCATTTTTTACAAATTGCTCAATAAAAAGCTATCGAAAATTAACATCCTTAATTAAAGTCAATGAGGATTAAAATTAACTCATGAGAGAAACTTTTAAAAGTTGTTTCTACGACATGGTAATTAAACAGATAATTTCTCAGGGCTTGTAAAATATGTAGTATGAGATCAATTAATTTTAAACCGTATTAATGTTGAGCGTTTACTGACTTGACAGTAGAAATGACAAATCATTACCACAGCAAAATGATTCGAACTAGTTTATTTTTAATTGATTGAAAACGGCAACTTTTCATTAAAAAGGAGTAAATAATCTGAAATACTTACACGTTGTTGGTAGCCTGTCAGTCCTGACTGATAAGTTGTCAGTCCCTGGTTGTACCCAGCATTGAATGCTAAATAGTTTTTGAATAACTTTATAACACAGAGGCAAAAACAAAACTGTACATAGGAAAATACTAAAAAATGATAATTAGCGAGTAATATTGCTTGAGAGTAACTCTTCACTTTTAAAGTTCCAATACAGAGAAAAATACTAAAAAAAAAAAATGAAAATTGGCAAGTATTATTGCTTGAGAGTAACTCTTCACTTTTAAAGTTTATTTCTTTTTTTTATATAGAAAACAAAATATAAAAATATAGAAGCTCAAAAGTCCATTGAAACAATACAAATTTGAAGCAGAGCATACAGGGACTTCTAAAAGCATAAGAGCTGGGATCAGGTGCCATGGAGGAGTAAGCATCCCCTGTCGATCACATCCACCGCGTGCTCCTTGACATGATTGGAAAACAGAAAATCCGTAGACAATACAGTGTGAAAATAAATGCATAAAATTTGTATGTAACAAATACATATGTCAGTCAACATTCGACCTATTGATGGATTGTATTTGCTGACAAAGTCATTGTATCGGCCATAGAATATTCAAAAGGTTGACTTTAAACGAGAATGTTGATATTCTTATTTGATCAACTTATTTGTCAATGGCTTTCCTTGTTTTAGAAATTGTTCGTATGTAGAATATGCTCTTGCGTATCAAATCAACTGGGAGACATAAACTCCATAGGCATGTAATAATGTTATATTGCTATATAAATAAATTCATCAATGTCATAAATGCAACCATTTGCCAAATTGTTTTAAAAAATATTAAATTAACTCAATATCTGAGATTGGGCTGCAAGTTGTAGCACTGGAGCTTTCCGCTTAAACAGTCTCTCTCTTTCTATACTGGATCCAGGGAAGAAAATAATGACTAAATTCTCAAAGGAAAAATGTAAAGAAGTTGATTAACCCCTCATCATTTCCTTATTTTATACTGAGAAATAAATGAAAAGTAAAATCTGAAAAGTTTAAATGGAATTCTCCAGAAATCGTCTCATTGATGCACTATACTTTAAGGCAGTCCGATCCTCAGGTTCTGAAAATCAGAAGTTGAGTTATAAAAAATGATCACTAAAGTATCTTTGGATTCTCAAACTAATGTGTATTTACTCATTGTATTTCTTTAAAGTTCATCATTAAAGTTAATCATATTATGCAGGGAAAATTATCAAATCTCAAATATATTTTCAGGAAAGGCAAATAATAGCACCCGATATGCATTTTCTAATTGAAAATTGATCAACAAAACATTTAAAGTCAAAAACCTATAGGTATCAAGGCATTTGGAGAAAATTGCATGTTTTTTAAATACTTATACGGTACTTTAGTTCTTCTATTTACTTCAATCGTTATATAATACACAGTGTAAAAATCTTGTGCTATTTATTGCAAGACGTCAAAGATCACTTCTAAGTTCAAATCATGCTAATAAACATTAGTATCTAAGGCTAAATTAAAGGAAATTATATTTCTCTGAAAATGTTATTTTTGTACTTTTATACAAAATGTCAACTTTTTACGAGACCGTTTCTTAGACTTCTGAGAACCTTGAATCATATTGCAATGCATGAAATGAAAATTGTTGCACGAAAAGATTCCAATTTCAAGCTTCATTTAAAGACTTTTTAAATTAAATAATAATTTTAAGAGTTATCATTCCCTGTTCAGGAGCTGAATCCTTAAAATTTTGTTTATGTTTTTCTCTCTCTCGCTCTCTCTCTCTCTCTCTCTCTCTCTCTCTTTTGCTATAAAAAGAATGATAAACATTATTTTAAAACTAGATGTCTTATAAAAATAGAGTTTTTTTTCTGAGAGTTCCAACTTTTTAAATGACAAAAAATTCATTATTTAATTTAATAAATTTCTAACAAACTCACACCTTAACAGAGAAATAAACGGAAATAAAGTTAAAGGTTGTCAACAATTTATTTTTTTTTAATTTGACCAAAAAAGTTAACCACACTTCCCTATATTTACCAGAGAAAAGCCTGAAAGGTACAAGTACATCATGATCACTTTAATTACAAACTAGTGAACAATACAGCTAAGCTATGAAGTGGTAACTTACGGGTGGCTTTACTCATCGTAATTCTTAAACCCTGGCTTCTGGTAGATGTGATAAGACGTATATTACAAGGTACAAAATGATCGGGAACTTCCTTGGTTTGAAGCTATCAAAGGTATTGTGTTATACATTTTTCGAAATACAATAAAGCTATTCAAACTGGAATTATCCATTATGTTCTATGATGTAATTCATTTCCAAATTATTTCCTTATAAGGACATAAAGCTATTTATGAAACATGATATATTTCTCTCAATATTTATGATTTCGCAGGTGGTTGTAGTATTGCAGCTTTCCGCTTAAATGGTCTCTTTCCTGAATCAAGCAACGACAACATGATTTAAAGTGAACTAGTTTAATAATGTTTTATTTTCAAATAAAATCTCTCCTATCTTACTTAATTTTTTTTTAATGAGAAAATCCTTAGTGTTCACATCTCAGGCACTCCTGATCTGAAATTATCTGAGTGATAACCCATAGATACTTTCAAAAGAAAAAACGCATAAAAGCAATAATGCCCTGAATAATATAAAAGAGTTCTGTCATACAATTTCTTTTAGATGAATAGGATTCATTCGAGTAAAATGTATTATTTTTTTAACGCTATTGATAACTTGACAGCCATTCTACAAAACTCATAGACAAATGATCTGATTTTGCAGAATGCTAAAATGCTAAAATGTGGTCTTTTTTTACAATACACTTTTATTGGTTTCTGATCCACATCCTTCAGGTACAAAAGGGCTATCAAAAGCTGGGATTTTCGATATTTTAATTCTATTTTTTTTTAAATTGACGCTATTCAAAAATGCTGCATCTGAATGTTGCATATCGCAAAAAGGGAATTGGGCGACTGAGAGTAAGTGTACAACAGGCTACAAGAGGTTTTAATATGCACAAAGCACCATTTCTAACCTATGAAACATATAACAACAACATGGTACAACATATGATCGCCAAAAATATGGCGGACCCGCGTGACATCAGCAGCACAGGATCGCTTCATCGGTTTGCGTAATTTTCATCATCGTTTCACAACGATGTCGTCTATAGCATTAGCTATCCCTGAACTTGAACTGCATAGAATATCTAACAAGACTGTTTGCAATTGACTACGGAATGCTGGAATTATCGCCAGAGGACTTATTCATGACATTGTTCTGATACCACAACACTGCAACCTCGACTGGTCTTAGACAGAGTATGGCCACAGCAACACCGCTGAACAGTTTGATTTAGCTACTAGTCCAAAATGTTTATTGCAAAGCCTGATATAGGGATCAGAGTGCATAAGCTTCGTTATGAACAGTTTTATAGAAAACTACCTCCGTAGGTTGATTGATTTGGTGGTGACCTGGAGAAGTATTTCAATCCGACAATACACAGCTACAAACAACTCGTTTGACTAGCGCATTCTTGCAAAGCAACAGCATCCTGTTCTACCTTGGCCATCTAAATCTCCAGATTTTAACCCCATTGAGTATACATTGGACAATATGGATACTCATACCCGCCAAAGACAATGGCATCCACAGACTCTGCAACCGCAGACCAAAGCTCTACATTTAGAGTGGGAAAGCATTCCCATAGAGTTTTTAATACTTTTATTTGTGCCCATTAGGATGGCGTTTAGGCTATCATTGGTGTCTGTGGGAGGCATACTAGATATTGATCTTTAATGATCTTGAACTGTCTATGATTGTAAAATTCTTAAGTAATTTTGACATTTAAATTGTAGACCTATTGTTTACCACCTTTCTTTATTATCAATACATCATTTTACTAAATAATCTTTATGTTCACTAAAATTTCACTATGCGTTTCTTTTTTTAAAGAGTGTATATTGTGATATTTGGGAAGTATTGTAGTATATGTTACTTGACTACGACTACAAAATAAGAAATATTAAGGTAGTTTACGTAACAGATAAAAGAAATTATATTAATCATGCACATATAGTGGAAGGGATAATTTAGCAAACACTTGACATATATCTATTTCACTTATTTAACATTAAATGTCTTTGAATACGTAACTTAATTGACAATTGGCAATTGAACAGCTTCTTTCTAAAGATAAATAAATAATATGATAATACATGAATCTATAAACAATTATAACAAATATGAATAAACACAGTGGCTTGTTGTGTATGCTAAAGAATGCATAAACATATGTAACGAGGCCCACGGTCCCTCTTATAAAAACATAAAACATATGCACCCATTGATTTTATTTTTTATCATGCAACATTCTTCTTTGAACCCTCGAGTTCAACCAGTTTATTGGCATGTATGACTGTATGATTTTTTTACGGGAGTCCCGTTCGAGAATTTTTCACTCATAAAGAGACGTCACCATATATCGGCACTCAGGGCTATTGGCAGTGAGGGTTCTTTATCGTGCCAACGCCTACTGTAAACGGGACCTCGGTTATTAAGGTCTCATCCGAATGACCCGCAACCTTCACTCCAAAGTGCCGAGCGCTTGGCGAAGGAACAGTTGCTATATACATGCTTAACACATGCTTAACAGTATGTACTTGTCCCAGCTGAAAAAGCTGTTAACAACATAGTCTTTGTTAGTAAGGCTCATTATTTGAATTGTATTTTAGAGGAACTAGGGTTTAATTCTGCAGGTGGAAATCCAACCTACACCCATAGCTTCCTTTCTAAGGAAGAAATTCTTCAAAATCATATGTCCTTTTAGGATATTTTCAATGTTCCCAACAATCAAAATGAATTTGAATTACCAAACCTTTACTGGATTCCTAAACTTCTTTATCCATCATTTTAATTGATCATAAAAATCCTTACAAACAAATATACATAGCGGGTTCCAGTAAATGTTCTATCTAGCCTCTTTCTTTATTCCTTTAAAATAGTTACTGTAAGGAGAAACTTCAGGAGTACCAAACAACACGCAAGAGCGTGCTCTACGTATGAACGATTTCTAAAAAGAGGCAAGCTATTAACAAACAAGTTGATGAAACAAGAATATCAACAGTCTTGTTTGAAGTCATCATTTCGCAAGTTTTATGGTCGATACAATGACCTTGTCAGCACATACAACCTATCATTGAGTCAAATGCTGACTGACGTTTTTCATACTAATTGTTAGGCCATTGTTTATACACTAAACTCTCTATGAATTTTTCCGTTTTTTCCCCGATCATGACAAGGAGTACCGGTACACGGCGGGTGTGACCGGTCGGCACTCCTCCATGGCACCTGATCCCACCTCTGATATTTTTGGAGGTCCGTGTTTGCTCTGCTCCAAATCTGTATCATTTTATTAGACTTTCGAGATTGAATAGTGTTCGTTATCTTCATATTTCATTGCTGCTTATTTTTTATCGACTTAGGTCAGTCGCAGCCATGATTCGAACACACGACCTTCCGATCACGGAGCGAGCGCTCTTATTTATTGACATGATGGACATGACAGATAATTCAAAGTCTACGGGACGCTAACATTACTTGCTGAAACTTAAAAAGGGGTCCATCATTATTCGATATACTGTAGTAAGGGAAGTTTTCTCCCGGGATTTATGATCGCCCTCATTGCAAATGAGCAAATCTAAAACGGGACACATTCGACTGAAATTCGAATTTCCATAGAATTAAAAAGCTGCCATGTGTGTTTGTTTCAAGTTATATCCAATCTGGCTAAAACGGGTTTGAAAACTTATATGTCAAATGCTTTGAAAACAAGTTTAAATTTAAAAATTGGTAGGGGTACTCAAAAAGGACAGGTTATATAGTAAATTAAAAGGTATTAATTATAGAAAATGGTTTAATTGACACTAATGACAGTTACTTCTTATTCAAACTTTTATTAGTCGATATATCTTACATACAACTAATAACTAATACCTAGAACTAAAGTAACTAAATCAAAACATTCCTGTCTTCTTTATTCATCATTTTAATTGATCAATAAGATGTGTTGATTCTATCTAGAGATTGTTTGACACAAGTATCACTAAACCTCTTACGAGTTGTGTTTCATATTTTAAAGAGAGGATAGATGTAAATATGTGTTTTGCCATATATTCATAGTTTGTAAATAATTTTCAGACTTCTAGAGAGTGTTTTCATATATTAAATGCTTGATAAACATTGTTAAAAGTATCACTTGGTCATGGGAAAGTTACTTCTGAAAAGGCTAAATGTTTACACTTAATACATGTATATGGATCCAATCTCTAAATGTAAGCAGAATAATGGCAACTGTTACTATAAATAGTCAATACCTCCAAATGTGTTTTGGAAGTGAAAATACATGTATATCTATTTGATTTCCAATCGCAGTTTCTTTTACGGGAGATGGTTGATTTTCTGTTGAACTGTCAATACACCAGTGAAATACAAGGCTAGAATAGCTCCCACCGTCACGACTCCGATGAAAACTGATGTTAACGTCAACGTTTTGGCACAAGAGGCAGATTGTTCCGCACCACGCAAATCATGCCTCTCTACCCTCTGGTTTGCCTACAAGACGTTAAAGTGCTATAAGCAATAGAATCAATATTTTTGTTCATTTAATATACATGTACATACTATTGGTATCGATGTACATGCACATATATGAATGAGGAGAACCAGAGAGAATTTTAATTATTTAATCTTTTAAGGAAATGAATGAAGATGAACATTCTCAAAGTTCAACAATCTAGAATTGCAAATCAACAAACCTCCCAAGCGTAATAAATTGCAGCCAATCCTAAGGGCCAAAAGCAAAACAAACAGGAAAATATGGCAGGGCAGAGCCAGTTTGTTGGTGGATGTGTTATTGTGACAACTGGTGTAGAACCATACACTTTAGCGCCTGCCTTTGGAGAAAACAAAGTAACATCAGACATTCATTGCTTGCTAGATAATTGTGAAAACTTAGATCTTGAATGACAGTATGGAATGAAATCTAATAACGAGTTAGCAGCCAATACAAATCGATTTTATGAATATTTTCATAAAAATTGAGTATCAAGATGTTATTTCAAATGCATTTACCAAAAGGGGATTTAAAGAAGTATAATCTTTTCGTATTGCATAAACGAAGTTGATCATTTTTGTTTATTTCAAAGACATTAACTAAAGATGAGATTTGTGTCCTATGAACTACTTACATGTTGTTGGTAACCTGGCGGCTCGGACGGGTAAGTTGTCGGTCCCTGGTTATACCCGGCATTGTATGCTAAATAATTTTTGAATAACTATTACACAGGCAAAAATATTAACTGTATTGGGTAAAAAATAAAAGTGATTGTTACACGTACTTGTTCTGAAATGTCTAATAAATAATAAATGTCGAGGAAGAGATTATAAACTCTAATGAAATGATAATTTTGATCTTAGAATCACACATATAGTTTCATTTTTTTTAAATATAAAGATTCTCAATAATGTCTTATAAAGTGATAAAAAGTGATCACATTTATAAGGATGATGGGAAAAAAGAGTTTTTTTTAAAAATATATACATCATTTACGACCAAAATAAATCCAAAAATGTATAACTATCCATGTATCCAACTTTTTGTAATATGTGTCCTTAAACGATGTTAAAAGTGAAAGGAAAAGCATGTTTTCTGAATGCTGAATCTTTAATTATATAATAATACAAATCATGTGTGCACATAGAACCTAATTAATTTTCTCTAGATTTACAAAATGAAAATGAAAAACATAATAAACTCACGGTTGCCTGTGCTCATGTTTGATATTCCGCATTCTGGTGAACATTGGGTAGATTTCAGTTTAATATGTAGTATTTAACCAATTACTTCCTTGTGATAACGGGCATGTTTCATTTAATGAGCAAAGGACTTCCTTTAAATATTTTTGATACAATCTGTATTTCCTTCTTATGAATGCTTAGAATAGTCAAAAGTGAAGTTCCTCAAAATTAGTTTAGAAACAAGAATCATATCACAGCTTAAGTATAATCATTGATAGTTCAAAAGTTCTTTCAAATTCCAACTTCACATTTTAAGTTTTACAGTATATTTAAGCAATTGCAATTGATAATTTTCGTTCAAAAAATAATTTTGCGAAGAGACAAGTTTCAACATTTTTGATAATCTGATAAATTTATACTAGTTTTGCAACTATCTTAAAACCAAGAGTAGTGTGTTTTTGAATTCTTACTCATATCATTTTAAACATCTAAATCTCTGTGTGTATTTGGACTTCCTCATTATTTCATCGCCAGGCGTAGATACTTTATAAGTTAATCTCTATCTATCTCTGTCCTTCCACTCATAGAATTTGAAATAGAAGGAAACAATTTAAAAAAAATGGTTTGATTTTTCATTTTTGTGATAGAGATTTCCAACAGTTCATCGATATTTAGAAAATAAAATTTCCTGTTTTAAATGAAGCCCTTTTGTTACCTGTAATAAGACTAGCTATCTCTCACTACCATGGAGATAAAACACTTACTTTTATTAGTTAAATAAACACAATAGCTATAAAAGGTGGACAGGCAGATAAATAACTAGAAATATATATGGTACTATAATAGTACATGTAAATAAATTAATCAAATACTTGAACCAAATCTTTGAAAGATTTTACAACCTGATATAGCCAGCTTCCTTGAAACCGCAAGAAGGATTTAAATACAATTAAAAAATACTATTTTAAAAATTTGAACATCTATTAACACACTCTAGCCTCTTTGTTGACATGAAGAAAATATATAAATTTTGCACCAGAAATACAAATTTAATGAACCCGTTTTAAATATCAAAAACAGTACGACTATATAAGGCTTTTTTATATTTCACAATGGAACTTTTTTTCATTCTTTACATGTAAGGAGGGAGACAAAGAGCAGGTCACTAAGAAGAGAAATTTTCGGAATATCAGAATGGCAGATATGGTGTGTGTGTGTTAGGGGGGAGGGTGTATGTGTGGAGATAAACAGTAATGTGCTCAGTACAAGCTAAAGAAAAGAACAGTAGACTTCTGTCTATCAGTACATTTCTTAATCTTCCAAGTACCACTATTATCAAAACGAATTTGCGACGAAGAAGGGCATCCATTGAAAAGAATTATAGAATTATGAAAGTATAATGGTATATTTGAGAAAATGCATCAGAATCAGTATACCAAACATTACGAACTTTGGGTGGATTTATGTTCATTTTCTGCTCTGAGAAAGAGAACACAATGCTTTTAGTTAGATTTTTATAAGTTTTAACCATTCTAATGAAGACTTTTGCTACTCTTTATTACTGGATACGATACACTTCAATTAAATTCAAAATCATGAGCGGATTAATTTTAGTCCAATCTTATCATGATAAGAATAAAAGGAACTAAATGGTGCATATAGTATGAATTCTTGACAAATAGGTCTTCATGGATAGAAAATTTGCGTATATTACATAAATAATATTATATGCATAGAATTAAGTCCCATCCTTTGCAGCATTAGTTTGATTATTTTTCTAAATTCCGCAATCGAGCGGACCGGGTTCGATCGCCGCGCAGCGTCAAACCTAAGACGTGAATATACTTAGTGACTGTTCCTTCGCCAAGCACTAGAAGTGACAATCATGGGTCTTAAAAACCAAGGTCCCATGTCATCGTAGGCACTGGTACGATAAAGACCCCTCACTGCTCAATGGCCTTGAGTGCTGGTGTAGGTCTAAATTTGAAGCCCCTATATGTTGACGTCTCTATACTATATGAGTGAAAAACTTTCGAATGGGACGTAAATCAACATACAATCAATCAATCTGAATTCCCCTGTATTACACAGCAAGAAAAACACTTCCTCAATTGGAATTATGGAAGAAATATTAATTAACAGTCAGATTTTTTATTGTATAATTATGTGAATAACACGCATAGCAAAGAGCCTTAGTATATATACATGTATCCATTTTCCTAGCAATTCTGGTGTCAAACTGAGACAGAACTATTAATCAAGAATTAGATGGGAATTAAAGAGATATGTGGACAGACATCTGACAAACTTTGCAAGGGTAGTTTTTATTCACTAATCCCTCCACATGGGGATTGCCTATGCAAGGGTAAGAAACACAGATTAATTATATAAAATAAATTTTATATACATAAAATCATATATCTTATAATGATTTAAAGAGCATTGGGTATAAAGGTTCCTTTTGAGAAGTTTCTCTGATAGCAAAATTTATCCCAACACGACTTTCTCCATAAGTACAGTTATTGTTGTTTCAATCAAATACATGCACATAAAACATGTACTGAAAACAAGTGGTTTGATTTGAACATATTTTATTGTAATTTATAACTACAAAGGGATTGGGCACAAGCTCTGAAAACTTATTACGCCCTCTCCCTATGAGTATGAATGCAAACAGTTTTAAGATACTAAAAGAGCGAACAATGTAATGTAGATATAACAAGGAATAAAGATCAAGGCTAAATATATCCAAACGTGGGTCCACCACTCATGTTTCAGTTCTCCAACCTCGTCGTTATGTCTGTAACTTCTCAGAGCCTGTATGAAATATAACCATGTTTTTTAATTGTACCAAACATCCCTCATTTATATAGATTTAATGAAAGGCGTATTGGAGTTAAAGAAAGATACGTGTACATTTTTTATCTGTAAGTTTAGAAATGACACCAAAAGGGTTATCAATTTTCGAAGCTTAGAGATGTATAAATACCAGTAATTGAATGGGATTCTAATTAATTAAAAACTTTCCAAACTTGGAAGAGACATGGAAACTATGACTAAGTTTAAAACGCTTTAAATACTATATAACTACAGTTTTAAAACTTTATTAAAAGGACTATATTCGGTAATGACCAATATATGTCCCCCAAATCAAACTTTGATGGAGAAATCTATGTTCTAAACCAGGGGGTATCTGCAGACTTTAGAGCATTATCTATTTTCATTGGCCATGACGTCATGTGTTAGATATGACGTCAAGAAGATGACAATTCAAATTTTCAATGTTTTGAGAGAGAAAAAGTGTATTTTATGTCAATATTTTGATCAAACGTCATCGAGCGCAGGTATCTCCCAGCTCTATCTTTTGATATAATGTGTAGAATTATACTTTCAAATACAGTGTATGAGAATATTGTTTTTGAGTAAGCTTGCGCTCAGTAAATTCTTTACTCAAAACTAAATATATTTTGTTCATTTTGTCCTTTATCTTGAAAATAACGGGAAATTCAAATAGTTTGTGACGTCACAGAAACAAGCATTGACGATAATCTACTTGCAAATTATTATAATTTCATACAATATATACAATTGTATACATTTCCAGAGATTTTCAAATTTTGCCATTTATGGGGGCTAGAATATGCTTTTAGAGCATAAAGTTCTTTTGAACAACTATAATTCCTTCAATTAATGTTGTACAAAATATAAAAAATTAAGATAAATTTTCCTACCGATTTCTGAAAGGATTAACACCAAAAAAGTACATGACATGTTATAAATTTTAAACACAACTATAATATATACATTTGTGACAGGTAAGAAAAAATAATTACTTACAAGATATGCTGATCTGAATGCCAAGACGGCAAAGGGAAAATTACACATAAAACAAACAAATAAAAACATTGAAAAACAAACGCCATCCGCATCTCTTGACTGGAATGGAATGATGTATGTTAGAATCTGCAAAAAGTTATAAAGAAAATTACGCTCTGACACAATATATTTATATTAAAATTCTACATGTTTTTACTTTTTGATTGATATGTAATGTTTAACTGATAATGTGTATAATCAATTTTAATGAAATAAACTTAAACAAAAAATTAAGATGAATTTAATCAATATCATAGTAAACGATGTTGGCCATGTACATATTTTCTTACTGTTTTAGTCTCTGGTTGCTGTATAGACAACCTATTTTCTGGAATCAATCGTTCATGGACTGCACCTCTGTGATGAAATTCTTCATTTCCTGCGCCTTGTGCTAGAAACAAGTTATTATTAATCGATAGCCTTTTCAACTAAAAAAATCAATCAATAATACTTATATTTCATTCAAATTTGAATTAATCTTCTGTTTCTTGCTTGTTTCTTGAAAGGCTTGAAATTCATTCAAGAATTGTATTTGTCAAATGAATTTTTAGAAATTCTCAGATTTCGTTTCTAATGCACACGGAGATATATATGACTGAATTGCATGTTTTTCCTGATCAGTGTTTCACCTGCATATAGGTATATTCATAAATCTGCAGAGGTATGCAATCACTTTATGACGAAATAATAAAAACGCAAAGAGACAATGATATTAAAATAAATGATTGTTTACTTACAGCACTCTTCAATTTCATCACATATGTTTGAAGCCATTGCGTAGTTTAACTTCCTCTTCTCGCACAACGATATGGGGATTCACTATAGCTAGTCTCTAAATTTAAATATGTGGCACCTAGAGTTCATGGGCATTGTTGCATGCAAAATTTTAAAGATGTGTTTTCAAAAGTAAAAATACTGCCGTGTAAGGTATTTTTTCCCGAACTAGTGAATGAAAAGGCGGCAAAATTAATGTACTTCGTTGAGTTCATTTGAATTTTTTTTTAATGTTTAGCTCTGCCAACATATAATTTCCTTATATTTGTTATTTCCAAAGAATGTTAGTAAATAAACGTTTTCTTATATTTCCTTCCTTAAAACATAGGTTGATGAACTATCTATGGTGTTATTGAAACTGATACATATAACCATTCCATGTCAATATTTTTTTCTTTTTTTCTAATCATGTTTAATATAGCACAGTGGTTTAATTCCCTATAGACAAAATTGAATGATAATTGAGGAAGTTTCGCTTCATGAAAGAAATAGATCATTGTAAAAAAAAAAATTACAGTATCAAATGCAAGAAAGCAAAAAGAAGAAGATATTATTGTATTCATATAAGGCAGAATTTATTCAAAATCTTATACAATGAAATATATGGAGATAACGAACAGTATTTAAGCTCAAAAGTCCATTAAATAAAACAAAAAAGGAGCAGAGCAAACACGGACCTCTAAAACATTAGAGGTGCGATCAGGTGCCACGGAGGATTGAGCATCCCCTGCAGACCGGTCACACCCGCCTTGTGCTCCTTGTCATAATCGGGAATTAACCGAAAAATCCGTCGACAATTCATTGTGTAAATAATGGCCTAACAATTAGTATGAAAAACGTCAATCAGCATTTGACTCAATGATAAATTGTATTTGCTGACAAAGTCATTGTATCGACCATAGAACTTACAAAATGATGACTTTAAACGAGACTGCTGATATTCTTGTTTCATCAACTTGTTTGTCATTAATTTACCTCGTTTTAGAAATTGTACATACGTAGAGCATGCTCTTGCGTATCGAATCAACTGAGAGATATAAACCCCGTATGCAGGTGATGAAGGTATATTGCTGCATAAGTAATTGAAGTTGATGATTGAAAAGTTAATGTCGTCACGTTTATCATAAGCTTGGTTGTAAGAAGAAGCTTAGAAGAAGAGAACACTTGCTGTGGCCTTTTTAACATATCCCATTAATGTCAATTTAAATAAGATACAAACCATTAGATAAAGAATACCGGTTCCTGCCTGATTTAGATTTGTGCCAAGTAAAAAACTTGATACATAATTTTTCGTTTCCCGTTCCGCATTTTAGCAATGCATCTCATTACGCGATGGTCTGCTAAGGTTCACTTCTTTACCTTTGGCTGCGAAAACATTTTCGGTTCTATCATTTAAAAGAATACCTTTAAAAAATATCTATAATAGGACCGTCTTATTTTCGACTTCTTAACAGTACTAACATCGTTATTCAACAATTTTCTCCCTATTCTGTTCTACTTTGTACTCTTCTTCACACAGGAAAATGTGACTTGCAACTAGAATTGTGATACAGGTGTAAAGCTTTGTGACAGACCTGTATATAGTAAAGTTGGGTTTATACCCCCGTCTGTTATACTGCTGTTAGAAAGTTTTCATGAGTAGTGGCTACATTAATCAGAACAATAGTCCATGTTGTATCGCAAATATATATGTACGCAAACTATTGCATATAGTGAAACGAAAGAATTTTCTGTCGCTAAAAATGCACAATATCTAGATGACGAGGGCCATACAATGGTGAGTGTGAGGGTGTGTGTGTGTGTGTGTGAGAAAAAGACAAAAAATATTGATGTTTTCTATATAGCATTTGCTTTGTTTAAATTATGAAAAAGAGACAAACTTACACCAACATTCATGAATGATCATTTCAAATTGTCATCATGATGTCAAGTTTATATTTGATTCTATTCACAGCTGCTGCACATCTACTCTCTACATTCTTCACCAATTAATAATTACTTAAGGAGCGGATAACAGAACAACCAAAGTAGAGCAAAGACAGCAATATATGACCATTGAATTATTTCAAAATATTGGAACTCGTCAGTCGTGTAAAAGTACCTGCAGTGCCGACAAATTGAATACATTGTTCTGTATGATAATTTGCAGTTGCGGCCCAGTGCTTTTGATTGAAAAATCTAATCGTACAAATTCAGTCCTCGAATTTGTTAGTACATGTAGTTAACCACCTTTCCCTAATCATACTGAATAAAACTTTGGATTACAAAACAAAAATTATTATTTTCCTGAATGTCAAATAATACCAGTATACACTTATTCTACAATTTTATAAAACTTTCAATAAGGTGAAGTGAGGACCCATTGAAATGGAAGTATAATTACCTTTAAGTACTTGCATGAAAATGGTCAGGTTTGTCTACTTTGTTTCGGGCATGTTATTTTCTAGATAAATACCTTCAATTTCAATTTGCTAGATTACGATAATATGGTATGGATTTTCTAGCAAAAATATACTGACATTGAAGATAGTAAAAAATTATATAATGATGGAATTCTGAATTTTCGCTTTTTTTTTATTTGTTCCTCCATGGATATATTTCTCTCATGGTTAGCCCATGTTCTTTTCCTTATTTCTTTTTATTTTGTTTATTTATTTCTTTTTTTTTTGATAGTTACCTTTACAGCTCCTTTTGGAAGGGGGAGGGGGCAACAATGGCACTCTTAGGGACATCGCAGATCAGATAAATCAAGAGGGAGTCTAAATACATGCTATTAATGGCTCCTGATGCTGTATTTATACCTCCCGGGTGTTTGATGTTATTTAACTGCATATCCTACTTTTGTTGTAGCTCAGAGATGGCTCAAATTGTGATCTAGTGAAAAGCCATCGGTGATTGAGGTATCTTCTGGGTATGCAACGTCCTTCATATGTTGAGTTCAGCTGTTGTTAGATGAGAATCTACGGAAAGCAACATCAGTTGCAGGATATTACTTTTCTTTTATTTAATTATATATCACAATAGATGCGAATTTTAGCATTGAGAAAATAGCAGCAGGTTTCTTCTTCTTCTTTTTCTTTTTACATGTACCAGCAGGGCTCTAATTTGCGACTAATTTAGCCGCCATGGCGGCTAAAAAATTTGATTGGCGCCTAAATATTTTTCTATAAGTCGCCAAATTGGCGACCATATTAAACTGATTTGGGGATCGTCAAATTCCGGAAGTATAAATATGATCAACATTTTTTTTCTAAAGAGAATAAAAAAGTTTTAAAGTTAGCAATGGGCACGTCTTGTGTTTTCTTTGTCACCTTGCTTGTTTTTAGTCACGCAAGTTCGCATCGAGTCAGTGCCCACAGACCTCAGATAGATCACATAAAAAATAACAAAAAGTCATGCATACTGTATACTACGTCATCAGTTTCAAAAAGGGGTGATATGATTCAGAAAACTACAGTGTGGTGATCCGGAAAGTCGGATCACACACTGCAAAATTTACAGTATCAAAAAAAGAAATAGTGATGGGTATATATATATATATATATATATATATATATATATATATATATATATATATATATATATATATATATATATATATATATATATATATATATATATATATATATATATATATATATATACTATAACAGTAACTTGATTCGAAGGGCCGATCATCAGATCAAACGAGACGCGTTTATTATACCCTTTTATAATTAGTAAGATATTATAAAAGAAAACTTTTGGGATCGATTATACAACTTTTATCCATTAAACAAAACATTTTTTTCAAGGACTATTTGATACACAAGAAAAAAAACGTCATGCATATTGTGTTCTACGTCATCAGTTTCAGAGAGGGGTGATAAGGATTCTAAGGACTAGAATGTTCCAAGTAACGCATGCGTCGCCTGCTTTGCAGCTTCATTAAAGGTGTAAATAAATCTAAGGGTGGTCAGCTTTTTATTTACTATAAGCATGATAGACTGATAGTTCATGCACTTGCCTACAATGAAAAAATGTTATCCATGGATAGTATGACTGCGATGGAATCTGACAAAGAAATCAATCAAAAAATATGGTTCCATAACCCTCAAATGAATAATTAAATTAAAATTAATAAAAATAACTATTTGTCATTTTATTAAAACGTGTTTCGGATTCCAACAATCCTCCAAAAGAGATTTCAGTCTGTCTTTACTACACGATCCATTGCTGAATACCGATCCCTATGTATTTTTATGGTATTTAAATATAAGTTTGTGCGGTAACTGAATATAATACAGTTTCAGAGTACTTTTTCATGAGCTAAACGTGTTTCCAAAAATCATTCAAAAGAGATTTCAGTCGTCTTTACTAAAATTCTCAGCCTACACTATCCATTGTGGAATACAATGTACCGATCCCGATGTATTTTCATAGTATTTTAGAAATATAAGTTTGTCTAGTAACTCCATATCATACGGTTTTAAAGAACATTATCACGAGCTCATAAACATGTATAAATGCTAATTATCTAAACCTTGCCTCTCAAAATTCAAAAGTCTTATGTTTAATTAAACTGCCCGAGATATTTTTTGCAAAGTAGATCAAAGGTCAAGGTCAAGTGGATTTTAATACTGCTATTTTAATATTGTCTGATGACAAACAGTGCACATGCTAAATAGCATAGATTTACTTCTTAAATTTCAAAAATATGCTGTATATCGGCACTATGAGCTATTTTGAAAAGTAGTTCAAAGGCCAAGGTCAAAGGTCATGAGGCTGGTAACCATTATAATTTACCAAAGCCATAGTGCCAAGCACTATATGTGCAAAATATCAAATCCATACCTCTTACAGTTCTTGGGATATAGGTTGTGACAGACCGGACAGACGGACAGACAGACAGACAGACAGACAGATGCTAGGTAAAGTGATCCCTTATTGCCGCTCTGCTGTGCAGGCGACACAAAGACCAGTGTGGTGATTCGGAATGTCGATCACACCGACATGTGATTGCGTGAAATCAACAGTAAAACTGAGTGATACACAGTTAAGTATATATTAAAACAATTTATATTGATCATGCATAAATAGTGGAGGGGATAATCCAGCAAACTTTTGACATATATCTATTTCACACATTTAAAAAATAAAATGTCTATGAATACGTATCTTAATTGACAATTTGTAATTAAAAAGCTTCTTTCTAAAGATAAAAGAATATTTAATTATATGATAATACATGCATCTGTAAACAATTATTAACAAACAGGAATAAACACAGTGGCCTGTTGTTTATGCTTAAGGATGTTTACAAGTATTTAACTATGCTCATATTCCCTCTCATAAGAAAGGTAGCATAAAACATATGCACTCGCTGATTTTATTTTTTATCAATGTTCTTCTTTGATCGGAACTCTCGAGTTCAACTATTTTTTTTATATGATTGACACTGCAGATAATTCAAAGTCTACCGGGCGCTAACATTAGGAGGCCCAACTATATAAAGGGGTCAATCATTATTTTAGTTATACTGAAAATAAAGGAAGTTTTCACCTCGGATTAATTTCGCTCTCACTGCAATTGGGCAAATTTTGTAAATTTCCATAGAATAAAAAAAATGTCATGCGTGTTTGTTTCAAGTTATATCAAATCTGGCTTAAACTAGTTTGGAAATTTATATGTTAAATGGTTTAAAAAACAAGTTTAAATTTAAAAATTGGTGGAAATACTAAAAAAGGACAGGTTATCCTGGGAATTGAAAAGAATTAATAGTAGAAAATTTAATTGACACTTATGGAAATTACTTCGTCAAACTTTTATTGGTCGATATATCTTATAAACAGATAGAATAATTGGAATTAAAGGAACTGAATCAAACCATTGCTGTCTTCTCTATTCATCATCTTTAAGTGATCAATAAGATGTGTTGAGTCTATATAGAGATTGTTTGACACAAGTATCACTAATTACCTCCTGCGAGTTGTGTTTCATATTTTAAAAAGAGGATGAATATAGATGTGTGTTTTGTTATATATTCACAGTTTGTAAATAATTTTCAGACTTTAAGAGAGTGCTGTTATACATTAAATGCTTGATTAACATTTTAAAAAATATCACTTGGTCTTTGGAAAGTTAATTTTGCACTAATTGTCTAGACTTAATTCAACTTACATATATGAGGATTCACCCCTTTTAATGTAAACAAAATAATGGTAACTGTTACTATTTATTGTTGATACCTCCTAATGTCCTTTGGAAGTGAAAATATATCTATTTGATTGCCCATTGCGGTTTTTTACGGGAGGATTTTCTGTTTTGTCAATACACCAGTGAAATACAAGACTAAAATAGCACCAACCGTCAAGAATCCGATGGAAACTGATATTAACGTCAAAATTCCGGCATAAAAGGCAGATTGTTCGGCACCACGCAAATCATTCCTCTTCATCATCTGGTTTGCCTACAGTAAGACGTTGATATATATATATATATATATATATATATATATATATATATATATATATATATATATATATATATATATATATATATATATATATATATATATATATATATATATATATATATATATGAAAATTGAGGTGCAGAGAGTTTAACTATTTCGTCTTTTTTACTGAAATTGTTGAAGATAAACATTCTCAAAGTTCAACAATCTAAAATGGCAAATCAACAAACCTCCCATGCGTAGAAGATCGCAACCAATCCTAAGGGCAAAAAGAAACACAAAAAGGAAAATATGGCTGGGCAGAGCCAATTTGTTGGTGGAGGTCTTTTAGTGACAACTGGTGTAGAACCATACACTTTAGCGCCTGCCTGTAGAGAAAAGAAAGTTACATAAAAATTTCATTGCTTGCTAGATAATTGTGAAAACTAAGGTCTTGAATTCAAGTATGGAATGAAATCTAATAAGTAGTTAGCAGCCAATGCATATCGATTTTATAAATAATTTCATGAAAATAGAGTATCCAGATGTTATTTCAAATCCATTTACCAAAAGTGGATTTAGAGAAGCATATCCTTTTCGTATTTCATAAACGAAATTTATCATTCTTGTTTATTACAAAGACATTAACTAAAGATGTGATTTGTGTCCTATGAATTACTTACATGTTGTTGGTAGCCTGGCGGCCAGGAGTGGTAAGTTGTTGGTCCCTGGTTATACCCGGCATTGTATGCTAAATATTTTTGAATTTATTACATAGGCGAAAATAATAACTGTACCAGGTAAAAAATAAAAGTGAGTGTTGCACGTACTTGAAATGTCTAATAAATAATGAAGGTTGAGGAAGAGATTATAAAAAAAATAATGAAATGATAATTCTAATCTTAGAATCACAAATATAAAGTTTTATTTTTTGATTAAAAGATTCTCAATAATGTCTTATAAAGTGAAAAAAAAGTGATCACATTTATAAGGGTGAAGACAAAAATGAAGAAATCATCACAGAAAGTTTACAATTTCTTAATATTTTAGAGATTTTTATAAACATCATTTATATACCAATCCATGCATACAATTTTATATGTATCCTTAAACCAAAAGATAAAAGTGAAAGGAAAATTACTGTATTCTGAATGTTGAATGTCCAATTAATAATATTTTATTTTGTATGTTTTGTATTTCTAACTCTCCTTGAAAATTATGTGTGTACATAGAGAAACGAATTTTGTCTTGATTTACAGAATCAAAATTGAATAACATATTAAACTCACGGTTGCCTGTGCTCATGTTTGATATTCCGCATTCTGGTGAACATTGGGTAGATTTCAGTTTAATATGTTGTATTTAACCAATTACTTGTGATGGCGTGTATGTTTCACTTAAATGAACACAGGGCTTCCTTTTAACATTTTGATACAATCTGTCTGTTTGTGTTTAACGTCCCTCTTGAGAATTTTTCACTCATATGGAGACGTCACCATCTGTATTTCCTTCTTATGGAATGCTTACAATAGTCCAAAAGTGAAGTTCTTCAAAATTAGTTTATATTAGAAATAAGAATTATTTCACAGTTTAAGAGTAATCATTGAAAGTTCAAGTGTTCTTTCAAAATTCCAACTTCACATTTGAAGTTTTACAGAATCTTCAAGCAATTGCTATGGATAATTTAATGTTCGCTTAAAAATAATTTTCAAGATTTTTGATCCTAATAGATTTGTACTAGTTTTGCATCTATTTGTTCACCAAGAGTGGTGTGTTTTTTGAATTCTTATTCATATCATTTTAAAAATCTAAAGCTCTGTGTGTATTTGGACTTCCTCATTATTTCATAGCCAGGCGTAGATACTTTATAAGTAAATATCTATCTTCGTCCTTCCATATATAAAAATTGAAAAAAGAAGGGGAAAATTTTTACAATGATTTCATTTTTCATTTAGAGAAACATATCCCCATTTTTTTTTCAACGATGTTTAGAAAACAGTTCCTGTATAAAATGAAGCTCTTTCGTTAACTGTAATAAAAAGACTAGTTTATCTGTCACCACAATGGAGATAAAAGAATCTTATTTTCATCGGTTAAATTATCTTAAACACCACAACAAGATTTATTTTAATAAAAGGTGGTCAGGTAGATAAAAACTAGAAATATATGTAGAATTATAATAGTAGATAAGTAATATAATGAGCAATTAGTGAAATACTCGAACCAAATCTTTTACAGATTTTACAACCTGATATAGCCAGCTTCCTTGTAACCGCAAGAAAGATTAAAATACAATAAAAAAATACTATTCTAAAACTTTGAAAATCGTTAAACAAACCCTCTTTAATGGAATGAAAAAAATATACGTAAATTTTGTACTAGAAACACAAATATAATACACCCGGTTCAAATATCAAAAACAGTACAAGTAATAAGATGGGTTTTTTTTCTTATTTAACCTTGGAACTCTTTTTTATTCCTTACATGAAAAGAGGGAGACAAAAAAGGTCACTTAGGGAATTTTTAAAATGAATATTAGAACGGCAAATTTTGTACGACGTGTGTGTGTGTGTGAGGGTATGTGCGTGTGTGTGTAGGTATACAGGAAACGCTGATGAGTTCTGTACAAGCTAAAGAAATATGATTTTTGTTAAAAAAAGTCAGATTTCTGTCTTATAGTATACTTTTTTTATCTAACAAGTACCACTGAATGAGTTCAAGAACACTTTAGGATAGAAGATCATAATTCCAGAATTTGCAAAGGAGGGCATCCATTTAAAAGCATTCTGAAATTATGGATATGTAATGGTAATTTTGAGGAAATGCATCAGAATCAGTACATCAAAGTGAAACAATACGAACTTCGGGGGATTTATGTTCATTTTCTGCTCTGAGAAAGGAAGGAGACACAATGCCTATAGTTAGATTTTAATAAGATTTAATCAATTTTTTTTTATTGAAGACCTTTCTCTCTATATATAACTGGATATCGATACTGTTCAATTCAAATTCATAATCATAAGCAAATAAATTTGAGTCCAATCTTATTATGATACGAATAAAAGGAACTAAAAGGTGCTTTAAAAAAGTAAAACTTCTTGACAAATAAGTCTTCATGGATAGAAAATGTGCGTATATTACATGAAAAATAAAATATACGGAGAATTAAGTCCTATTCTTTGCGGTATAAGTTTGATTAATTCTCTTATTTCCTCGATCGAAAGGACCAGAATCGATTCTCATTCGCCGTACCGCGTCAAACCAAAGATGTAAACATGTTCCTTCGCCAAGCACTCTGCACTAGAAGGGAAAGTCATGGGTCTTAAAAAGCAAGGTTCCGTGGTATTGTAGGCGTTGGTACGATAAAGAACCGACACTGCTTAATGGCCTTGAGTGCCAAGTATAGGTCTAAATTTGAAACCCTTCCCCGATATATATTAATGTCTCTATATGCGTGAAAAAATTTCGAAAGGGACGTAAAGCAACATGTAAATCTTATACGGTACCAATTTTGATGCACCAGATGCGCATTTCAACAAATTATGTCTTCTGTGATGTTCATGCTGAAAACTTTGGAAATCTGAAATATTTAAATAAAAAAAATTTGAAGAGCTGAAAAAAGGGGATGCCAAAGACTGGAGCCAAATTCGTGTAATCAATAAACATAAAATCAATCAATCTTAATTCCCCTGTATTACACAGTATGAGAGACACTTCATCAAATGGATGCAATAATTTTGCTACTATTTTTTTTTGATAATTCAAATGTACATAGTTAAGCCAAAACAAGTATGATAACAACCAAAAATATGGGAGGAATATCACTTCATTCATGTAGTCAGATTTTTTTTTACCGTATAATTTTGCGCATGTACAAATAATTCAATACGGAGATAACAAACAGTATTGAAGTATTAAAGCTCAAAAATCCATTCAAACAATACAAATCAGGAGCAGAGCAAACACGGACATCTAAAACATCAGAGGTGGGATCAGGTGTCATGGAGGAGTGAGCATCCCCTGCCGATCGGTCACACCCACCGTGTGCTCCTTATCATATAATCGAGAAAAAACGAAAAAAAAATCGTAAAAAATTCAGTGTGTACATAACGGCCTAACAATTAATGTAAAAAATGTCAGTCAACATTTGACTTACTGATAGATTGTATTTGCTGGTCATTGGATCGACCATTGAACTTGCAAAATGATGACTTTTAACGAGACTGTTGATATTCTTGTTTCATCAACTTGTTTGTCAATACCTTGTCTCGTTTCAGAAATTGTTCGTACGTAGAGCATGCTCTCACGTATCGAATAAACTGAGAGACTTAAAACCCATATGAAGGTGATAAAGGTATATTGCTACATGTACATAAGTAAGGGAGGTTGAAATTGGAAAATTTGAAATCATCACGCGTATCATAAACCTTTGTAATTAGGTTACCATTAACGTCTTTTTCTAGTAAAATGTTTAAATATAAAACAGATGTGTCAGACTCTGTGGTATCATTTATTTCAAGCTCACTGGATTATATCGAGTCGACAGAATAGAATAACAGTGAATAGAAATAATTATTGTTAATAGATAATACGTCCTCGATATATCTATATGTCGAGTTGAAGGCTAAAGCAAGTGGGTTTTTTTCTTCTCATGTGTAAGATTTTGAATAAATTCTGCTTCATATGAATACAGAAATAGGTCTGCTAATGATGGGGCCCAATTGGTACCCATGGGAATTCCGAAAGATTGTTGGAAAATCTGGTCTCAAAAAACCTCAAGATATTGTCATCAAAAACTCAAGCATCTTTTTAATGTCAACTAAAGAGTTCTTTTGTGTGTACAATCAGAATGTTTTAACAAAATAAAGGTACCGGTGCAAATGACCAATGACGGAGTAAGCAAATTTACGAGTTCCATTTTTCTTGAAAAGCAGCTGTCAATGATGCCAAAAAGCCTGGACTTTAATTTATCGTGGGAATGGTTGCATTGAGTGTTGAAAAGTCGTACGTTTTGATGTTATTGATTTTGGTTAAATTTTGTGATTTCAACTTTTCTAAAAGATCCTTGGAACTTTTGAGTGAGAAGTAAAGAAAGAGGCTTGGTAGAACATTTACTGGAACCTATGTATCTTTGTAAGGATTTTTATGAATTTCGGAATCCAGTATAGGTATGGTAATTCAGATTCAATTCGATTGTTGGGAATATTAAAAATATTTAAAACTCAAACATCATTTTGAAGAGTTTCCTCCTTAGAATGGGAGCTATAGGTATAAGTTGGATTACCACTTGCAGAATTAAATCCCCCCAGTTCCTTTAAAATACAATTCAAATAATGAGCCTAACAAACAAAGACAAAGTTGTTGCTTTGTCACTATGACCAGTACAAACTAATCGTGTAATCTAATTCCTTTTTCACTTCTGAATTTTTGAACACAGAAGTATAGATGGTTTTCATATTGCCCTCAATCGCTTAAAACGAGACTTTAACATCCATCTGATACATTTAATTCATTATGACAAAGTGTCAGTATCTTCTTTTCATAATATTCATAAAATTTATGAAATAAATTACCACGCCAGCTGAAAGATTGGGATTCCTTAATTTAGGCCCTTTTAAAATAAGTGATTTATGGTCCTCATTATTAACTATATTTACGTCACCAGTAATGACGTGTCCACCAGGACTATAGTTGTAAGGTGAAAAACATGAACACGTTGGAGGATTATGTTTCAGATGTTCGATATCTAGGCTTTGTAGAGATTTCTTGTAATTAAAAAGTTTGGAAGCAAAAGTCGATATATATTTTAAGAAATACAAGGTGTTGACTGCAACGTGAAATTTTGTGGAATACAAGACTGGACCATTTTTTGTGATAAAGAATATTACTTATTTTAACCGTGTCAATTCTTTTGTTGGCGTATTGAATTTTAAAGAAAAAAACGAGTTGTTTTAGCAGTATTTTCTTTCGTAAAACGTGGCGATTTAAAAAGCCTATGATTTGTAATATCAGTAATCACAGATCAGAGCATGTATTCTGGTGTCGAAGAATCCAAATATGAACTTTCCTTGACTTTCAGATAGACATTTTAAATGTTTCAAAGGAATAGAGTAAAGTTTATCGCGAATGTGACGATGACCTAACTGTTTACACGTATTTACATAAGGTAGTAGTGAATCAAAAGACACATCGTGTATGATAGATTTATTGTAGACCGATGGCCATGACTACGCTTATGTCTCTGTGTGCTTTAAAAAATCCCATCACATTCATTTTCCTACACTGTGGACGGGAAACATTCCCAACACTATCGACATGTCATTGCATCAATCTGGAAAGGCCGTGCCTAATTTCTAATCCAGTACTCTTCTCTTTGTCTACGGAAAGGTGTACTCAATGATGGACTATAAGTATGACGGTAAATCTTTTCTGAAATTCTAACTTTCATTAATAAAAAAAATGATCAGATAAATTAAAATGCTTGAATAAAAGCTGCTGGCCGCAATTGATAATTTTAAATCTATACCCCTATATTCTTTTATTAAGTGAACCTCTGATTTCACCAAAATGAATAAGTCCACAAAGATTATGTTCTATTCCGTAGAAAACATAAGAAGATTTGCAGTTCTGGGGTAAGGAAAACAGATTGATTATATACATAAAATAAATGTCATATCCATAAAATCATATATACTATCATGATTTAAAGAACATTAGGCATAAAAGTACCTTACGAGAAGTTTCTCTGATAGCAAAATTTATCCCAACGCGACTTTCTCCATACGTACAGTCATCGTTGTTTCAATCAAATACATGCACATAAAACATGTACTGAAAACAAGTATGAATACAAATAGTATTAAGTTACTAAAAGAGCGAACAATGTTATGTAGATATAACACGGAATAAAGATCAAGGCCAAATATATCCAAACGTGTGTCCACCACTCATGTTTAAGTTCTCCAACCTCGTCGTTATGTCTGTAACTTCTCATAGCCTATATGAAATAAAACCATATAGATTTTTTTCAATTGAACCAACCATCCTTCATTTAAAAGATTTAAATAAAAAAGGGTACAATTAGAGTTCAAAGGAAGATGCGTGTACACTTTATATCTGTAATTTTAAAAATTACACCAAAAGGGTTACCAATTTTCGCAGTTTAGAAAGGTGTAAATATCAGTAGTTGAATGGGATTCTAATTAATTAAAAACATTTCAAACTTCAGCTATTCATTGAGAGTTTAACTGTGTTTAAATGAATCTTTAGCGGCACTTTAATAACTTCAAGTTTTGAACAACTATTGATAATTCCTTCAATTAATGTCGTACAAAATGTAAATAATAAAATATATTTTCCTAGCGGTTTCTGAAAAGATTAACACCAAAAAATAAATTACACGACATGTTCTAAATATACATCTATAATATATACATTTGTGACCTGTAAGAAAATAATTACTTACAAGGTATGCTGATCTGAATGCCAAAACGGCAAAGGGAAAATTACACATAAAACAAACAAATAAAAACATTGAAAAACAAACGCCATCCGCATCTCTTGGCTGGAATGGAATGATGTATGTTAGAATCTGCAAAGAAATACAATTAAAATTATATACTAACTAATTCAAAATATTTATTTATATTAACATGCCATATCTTCTGCCTTTTTTGAAATGCAATGTTTGAAGGTCATGGGAAACGATTCTTAACATTAGGATTTCACTTTTTAAACCTAAAGCTATATATGAAAGAATGTTAAATTACGAGTAGTAATATTTTTTGGCCTTTGTTCTACTGAAAAACAAAGGTGAAAACTTTTCCACTTGTTACTTTTCTTACCCGCTTATCGTTCTTGATTTTGTGGTTTTATGACGTCACAAGAGCCCACTGATGTAAACAAAGCATTAGACTAATGTATTTGTACCATATTTTTATCTAGTTAATTTAAGCTATTTTTGTAAATATAAATGTGTCTATGTTTTCAGGTGAGTTACCTGATTTCGTAGTTCAGTCAATTCAGTTTGAACGAGTCGTTAATAAGGCACGGCAACTCAAAACGGGGGCTTTTTATCGGATGATGATCCTGATGGGTATCCTAAATAAAATTACGCTTAAATTAAGCTACAACTTCGATAACTTACTCTGCATCAAACCTTTAGAAACAAAAAAATATTTCCCTGTTTAATACACATATACGACATTCCAAAAGGATTCCATCGTCATTTTTTATTCCAAGAAAAATCGTATAATGCAACATAAAATAGAATAATTTATTAAAAAGTGACCTTTTCTGATATGAATAAAAATTTTGATTAAGCATATAATATTCTGTTAAAGAAAGAATATGTCACTTATATGGGGAATATCCCTAACGTGAATCCCCAAAATAAACACGGGGCCGGTGGTATTGAAGTCCATGATAAGCGTGAACCACTGAAAATGTCAGCGTCTCTGAAGTTTCGTTTTCCCCGATCCGAAACACACATATTGCTGTAAAAACGATATAGCAATAGATTCCCTGAGTTTATGACATGATCGTATTCTTCTATAAAAAAAATATATATATATATAAAGAAGAAATGTTGAGCCCAGAGCAAATGAGATTGTTATGATGCCGATACTTTGTGCAGACACGGTTTGACTCTACAATATCGAATTTCGAAATAATCGGTATGTAGTAGTAAACAGTACAGTCCATGATCAGTTTGCAAATCCATCCGTCATTTGCGAGACTGCAATTTTAATATTAATATTCTTTTTTACAGATGATAAAACTTTTGAAATTATATCCTTTACAGAAAAAAAACATAAATATAATACACACTGGAAAAATAAACAGGTTTGTATACGATGATAATTACTGATCTTTGATAAATATTTTAATACATTGACTGGAAAGATACCTACCTTTTTCGTATTTTATGTATTAAATTTTACTAAATTAAAAAAAATGTTGATTTCTAATTCATTCAATATCTACATTTGGTAGAATCCTTATTCTTCATAGAAATATTTCCACATGTCAGAACTGCTTTTTTTTAAACGTCGTTTGTACTAACTCCCATACATACAAGTTTACGTATAGTTCTTGCCAGAGTTGTTTTTAACCCATCTGCAGTGTGTTTAAAAACGACACGATTATTTCAAGAACTTTCAATTACAAAAAGAAAGAAATAAGAAATAACAAGGGGGGGGGGGGCGCCAGAGTTCGGATATTGGTGGTGATGTTGTACATGAGTAAGTGAATATTAAGACAATGTCAAATGATAAGAATTGATTTAATTACATAAAACAGTAACACAAGAATTTTTTTTCTTTCTTTTTCTTTTTTTTTTTAAAGTCATGTGATACTTAACGCAGCAGGTACGTATCGTTTGTCAAGAAAAGTGTCATACTGACAGCGTTGGACTCTGTGTGAAAGTAAAACTATGTTGTAAATAAATGATTTCATAAAAACAACTGCCCTGGTTATGAAAAATGAATTCATTCTCACTCTCCCTTCTTTCTCTCTTCCGATTGCTTTATTTTTTCTCTCAATAGATCGAAGTGTCAAACGATGAAAATGATCACATTTTGATTGATAAAACATGCAAACATCTTGCAAATATGCAATGGAATTTTTAAAAAGAAATACTTGCTTGTTTGAAGATCGTATATTTATACTAGGTTTTAGCCATGATTATGATATTCTTTAAAATTAAGCTGCAAAATGACATGATAGTTTGTAAACATTGCATAGCTTTGGACAGCGATTGGGCCTTACTGACGTCATATGCTAAGGGAGATAAGCAACGTTAGTCAAAGTGAATTTTCACGACTGAGTAATTTTGATCGACTGTGCTGTAGCTATCTTGCGTAAAAAATCCAAAAAACAATTTCAGTCTTATTTTACCAGGTCATATGAACTTATTCCCGTATGTAACTCAATATGTTCAGGTAATTGTCTCCTATGACCTTTAACTGATAATGTGTATAATCAATGTTAATGAAATAAATCTATACCAATAATAAAGATGAATTTATTCAATATCATAGTAAACGATGTTGGCCATGTACATATTTTCTTACTGTTTTGGTCTCTGGTTGCTGTATAGACAACCTATTTTCTGGAATCAATCGTTCATGGTCAGTACCTCTGTGATGAATTTCTTCATTTCCTGTGCCTTGTGCTATAAACAAGTTAATATTAACCAATAGCTTTTTTTAATTAAAAAAAAAATCAATAATACTTTTATTTCATTCAAATTTGAATTAATCTTCCGTTTCTTCTGAATTTGAAATGCTTGAAATTCATTCAAACATTGTATTTGTCTAATGGATTTTTAGAAATTCCCTGGTATCGTTTCTAATGCACACAAAAATATATATGATTGATTTTCTTGTTTTTCCTTGTTTGACCAGCGTTTCATCTGCATAGTTATATTCATAAATTTGCAGGGATATGCAGTCACTTTATGACGCCATAATAAAAACACAATGATATTAAAACAATCGATTGTTTACTTACAGCACTCTTCAATTTCATCACATATGTTTGAAGCCATTGTGTAGTTTAACTTCCTCTTCTCGCACGTGTCTCATATGCTATTTTAAGCAGATGATTGTGACGGTACAACCATATGGGGATTCCCTCGTCTTCCTAAATTTAGATATATGGCACCCAGAGTTCATGGGCATTGTTGCATGCAAAATTTTAAAGATATGATTTCAAAAGTTAAAATACTGCCGTGTAAGGTAATTTTTCCCGATCTTGTGAATAAAAAGGTGGCACAATTAAATAAATGCACATCATTGAGTTCTTTTGATTTCTTTTAATGTTGAGCTTTCTCAATATATAGTTTCCTTATATTTGTTATTTCATTAGAATGCTAGTGAATATTTTACGTTTTCTATAATTTCCTTCCTTCAAACATAAGTTGATGAGTTATCTTTTGTGATGTTGAAACTTAACCATATAACCATACCATGTCAATTTTTTTCTTTCTTTTTTCATAATCATGTTTAATGAAGCGTAGCGATTGATTTCCCTATAGACAAAAATTGAATGATATATGAGGAAGATTCGTTTCATGAAAATAAAAAATCATTGTGAAAAATAGCATTATCAAATGCAAGAAAGCAGAAAAATGACCCGTTAAATGGGCATTATGGCTACTAAGGTTTGTTTGTTAGTTGTTTACTTTAAATCCTTTACTTGTGTTGGGACGCCACCCCTTGCCAGTAGAAGGCTGTAAATTTAGACCTGTATTTAGGGTCATTGAGAAGTGTGCCAGCATCTACAGACATGGAACTTCGATGCTTAAGGTGAAATATGAAGTTAAAGAACAGTAATGAAGTTCAGAACTCCATTTAACAATACAAATTGTGAGCATAAGACATTCGTGTTGTGATCACGTGTCAGCATCTCTTATCAATCACACCTGCTGTGTACTCCTTGTCATGATCTAGTAAATTGGAAAAACTGCAGACAATTCAGTGTGAAAATAATGGTCCAATAATTTTAAAAATCTTCGGGCAAGAATTGATTTATTGATATTTGCATAAAATTTGCTATTGTATTGATCCAGGGACCTATATATATATATATATATATATATATATGCTAGAATATACGTCCCTGATTAACCATAGAATTTGCGAAATGTTGACTTCAAACGGGACTGCTGATATCCTTGCATGATCAAATTATTTATTCAATATATCTAAATGTTGAATTGAAGGCCAGAGCAAGAAACATCTTTTATGTAGAAGTTTTTGAATAAAATCTGCTTCATATTATGAATACAAACAACAGGTCTGCTAAAAACGGGGCATAATTAGTTTCTATAAGAATTCCAACGGATTGTTGGAACACCTGGTCTCCAAAAAACTATATAGATATTGTCAATCAGAATTAAACTCAAACATTTCATACGAAAGACTGGTCTCTACGTCCCCCAGTACTTCTTACTTATAGGTTCTAACATTAAGATGTTAATGAAAATTTAGATGAAGCTTAAGACTTTTGATCAATTACGATGAAATGTCACTTGTTCTGGGTATGCACTAATGTGATGTGATACCTATACAGAGTAATCGTCTCTCCCTAACACTTCATAGTGCATCATTTGAAAAATAGAAATAAATCTTACTTGTCTTCTGATTTAGGGTGTAGCTAAAACACGGAATGAATGAGGAAAGGAAAGCGAAATGGAATGGAAAACGGAAAATATGATACCAGTATAATCTCTACCAGGAAAGATATACATTATATAAATGATTCATATTTAATGAAGATAAGTTGATGTAGTCATCATTATTCTAAAATGAAGATCCTTAAACATTTAGGCATGGCTTAGGTTATGGAAAACGGAATATGTACAAGTAGAATAACTTTATTGAAGAATAATCTAATTTATATGAAAATCCAGCATTTGATATCTATAGAAACCATGGAAAGAGTGAATAAAACATAATTTTCAATGATGTTCAACAGACGTATAAAGTCTCAGACAACTAAAATATAATTTAATGGGACGCAAACCAAGACCGCATTTGAAGTCTTTCTACAGTGGCTTCTTCAAACACATCATTTTCGGCCTTTCTCGTGTACCACTTATAACAATGCGATAACTCCAGTCAAGACATCATACCGGACTTTCGCCAACCACTTTTACTAAACATTATTTTGTACTCTAATGAAATACACCAAATGTGACACCTGTACCTTCCGTATTTTAAAAGATATTACACCTGAAAAACCAAACTCCTTTGGAATTATGGTGGGATTTCTTATCCTATTTGATATCCCACCGTAATCCTATAGGAACAAAATATGTACTAATGTATTTAAAATAACATCTCTTTGATTACGTCAATAAAAGTGTTGAAAAAATTCATTCTTATGGCGTATATACTCGCCTATAAGTCGGTTTTTTGGGAGTTAAAGTTTGGTCCAAAACTCTATGGACTTTATAGGCGAGTCATAAAAAATGATTCTAACCAACTTATATATTTAAAATACAGTACAAAAAAGCTTTTTACTCGAGATATTTTGTTGTTCAAAGCAAATAGGTATATTTCTGTTCCGTTTTTCTTCAATGCTGCATCTTTTCACAATAAATTTCACTTGGAGTTATCAAATAAGTTGAGTATTTTAATGAAATACTAAAATCGACTTATTATACACAATGTCGTATTACAAATATATACATAAGCAAAATATTACATGTAGTGAGACGAAAGAATTTTCTTTCTTTAGAAATAAATGCATATCTAGTTGAGGAGGGTATACAATGGTGTGTGTGAAGGTGTGTGTGTGTGTGTGTGGTAAGAAAAAGGCAATAGTTATTGATGTTTTTATATATAGCTTGTTTTGCTTAATTTATGAAATAAGACAAACTTGCACCAACATTCATGAAAGATCAATTCAATTTGTCATCACGGTGTCAAGTTTATATTTGATTCTATTCAATATCACAGTTGATGCACATCAAAGACTCTCTACATTCTTCATCAATTAATAATTAATTAAGGAGTGGATGACAGAACAACCAAAATAGAGCGAAAAGCATTGAATTAATAATATTGGATCTCGTCAGTCATATAAAAACACTTGCAGTGTCAACAAAATGAATACATCGTTCTGTATGATAATTTGCAAGTGCTTTTGTAGAAAAGGCTAACAATACAAATTCAGTCCTCGAATATTTTTTTTTCGTAGTTAACTACCTTTACCCAATTATACTGGATAAATCTTTGGATTAAGAAAAAAAAATTTTTCTAATGAATGCCAAATAATGCCATGATACATTTATTCTACAATTAATGTCAATTATATGTAGCGAATACTTTCAATAAAGAAAAGTAAGGACTCACTTAAATGGAAATATTGCGTTTAAATGCATGAAAATGATCAACTTTGTCTACTTTGGTTCGTGCATGTTATTTTCTAGATAAATACTTTCAATTATTAGTTTGCTAGATTACGGTAATATGTGTAGATTTTCTAGCAAGAATATATTGACAATGAAAATATATTAAATATTGTTGAAGATATTGACCATATTTTATTATCAAATTTTAATCTTTTTTGATTCAATTGATTCATATAATGATTGAATTATGAATTTTCTCTTTTTTTCATTTATTCTTCCAGGGATATATTTCTGTAATGATTAGCCCATGTTCTTGGCTTCTTTTCGTCATTTCTCTTTATTTTGTTTATTAGTTTTTTTGTAATTACATTTACAGCTCCTTTTGGATGGGGGGGGGGCAGCCAGGGCATTCTAAGTGCCATTGCAGATCAGATAAATCAAGAGGGACCCTCAATACATGCTATTTATGGCTCCTGATACTGACTTAATCCCTCCCAGGTAATGTATGTTTCCTACTTTTGATTTAGCTCAGAGATGGCTCGAATTGTGATCTAGTGAGAAGCTATCGGTGATTGAGGAATTCTCGCATCTTCTGGATCCACAACGTCCTTCATATGTTGAGTTAAGATGATGTTAGATGCGAATCAATGAAAAGCAACATCAGTTGCAACATATTGCTTTTTTATTTATATATTGCATTAGGTGCGGATTATACCTTTGAGAATAGAGCAACATGTTTCTTCTTCTTTTTTACATGTACCAGTAACTCTTAATTAACGCATTATATATACCGCTTTCAAGTTTTCTATTTTTTTTTTTAAATGTAAAGGAAAGAAATATGAAAATTAACACTGATTAACGATTAATTATAAAGGTCTTTACTCTGTAATCACGAAGTATAAATAACACCACAGCGACTTGCTTTAAAATTTTATTAGTACAAAAAGCTGAATGATAAAAAAGTAAAATACATTATATTAGTAGCTTGGAAACAGTTATAATAATTCTCAGAGAGTGATCGGGATCGAATATTTCTTGGACAAGATGAGCTTTTTTTGACAATTACAAATAAATGACTTAATAAACAAACATGGATCAATCCACAAAGGAAAAGAAACAGAGGACGTTGATATGAAATGTTCATTTTTCTTTTAAAAGCTTACCACTAATTACTATTCTTTAAATTTATTGATTATATTAATGATTATATTATATCAATGAATATATATTGCTGCATATTTGATGATTGGTTTGGTAGTTGTAAGTTTAAGTCCTACGCATTCTTAATTGTATAACTGTTGAATTCCTTTCTGGTTTCTGGCACAACGACGGCCAGCAAGATTATACTGACGACAATAGAAAGTGCGCCGATTGCAAGGGAGGTCAATGTCAGCCATTTAGCCCAGGTTGCACTAGATTGTCCACCATGATAGTCACCAACGTCGAAACGGGTCCTTGCCTGAACAAATAAAAAAGTGAAAAAACCAATCATACATTATCTCAAGATATGTTTCAAATTTGATAAAGATTTTCTATTACAAATCAAAGTTGTTCTTTGACCCCCTGCATGTACAAACTACAAAATGAAAAAAATATAAAGCTCTTATTTCTTACTTCTGAAGATACATAAATAGAAGATATCAGTCCTATACATAAAATCAATGTAAAACTGAATGCAGTATTTGAAATAGCAGCCTCCTAGA